TATTCGTGAATACTATAGTGCTCTGAGTCCTTTTTAATCTTGTAAGCCTAGCTAGACGTCGTCTTGCATCGAATTCTCCTTGCTAGAAATTTAGCCATGTGAGAATTGGATGATATTTGTGAACGTAATATCCTATGATTAAATGAATTTAATAACTTCTTAACTAGTCGACTATTGTTTGTAATCATTCTTCAAACACATTTTCCACAATGTTGTTGTACTACAACATTTCATGTTTTCCTATGCTCAAGCGTCAGTCAAAATTACGGAAACAAATATAATTACCTCGATAAGATATTTCCTTCATTCTTCCTCAACGTTGTTTATGGATTCTAGTTCTTTTGGGATTTTATGTCAAAACTTAATTTTTAGTCTTCTCGGACATTATCTATGTACAGACATTTTTTTGGTCTAACATCATGGGCAACAATGTTATAACCCCTCCACATTTCTTTCAAATGAAACAAATGCATATTTAAGTATGAATATATTCTATGGAATAAAAGAAATTAAAGTTGTGAAATCATTGGTCCCTGAACCCTTGAACCCTCACCCATGAATATCTACAAGTATAAAAGTATATGACAGGACGACACTGATATTTCATATCCTTTTTCTTTAATTCTACTTAGTCATGTTGTGTCGTTCACACAAGCAAACAAAACACATTTTAGATCTTTTTGTTCATCTTGAGATCCAATTTATTTATAGGAAGCGTGAGTACTCTTAAAACTCTCTTTGTATGTGAAATTTTCCAAAAAAAAAAAAATACATATATTTCATTTAATATATCATGTGTTCGTATTACGTGTGTCCACATTTTATTCCATGCAATTTGCACTTTAAGTGGATGTTTGGGAGCCATTCTTTTTTCAAATAATACATTTTTTCTTTCACATCAAGTGAGGTCCATGGTTGGAAAGAGACACAAAAAATGTATGATTTGCCACAAAGCATACATTTTTTTGTAGAAAAATGGTTACCAAACGGAGGCTTAAAAGGAGTGATAGAAAAGAAAACTAAATATGATT